ACAGAGCAACAGTAACTGCAGAGTAACAGTAACTACAGAGCAACAGTAACTACAGAGCAACAGTAACTACAGAGTAACAGTAACTACAGAGTAATAGTAGCTACAGAACAACAGTAACTACAGAGTAACAGTAACTACAGAGTAACAGTAACTACAGAGCAACAGTAACTACAGAGTAACAGTAACTACAGAGCAACAGTAACTACAGAGTAACAGTAACTACAGAGTAACAGTAACTACAGAGTAACAGTAACTACAGAGCAACAGTAACTACAGAGTAACAGGAACTACAGAGTAACTGTAACTACAGAGCAACAGTAACTACAGAGTAACAGTAACTACAGAGTAACAGTAACTACAGAGTAACAGTAACTACAGAGTAACAGCAACTACGAGGGTAACAGTAACTACAAGAGTAACAGTAACTACAAGAGTAACAGTAACTACAAGAGTAACAATAACTACAGAGCAACAGTAACTACAGAGTAACAGTAACTACAGAGTAATAGTAACTACAGAGCAACAGTAACTACAGAGTAACAGTAACTAGAGAGTAACAGTAACTACAGAGCAACAGTAACTACAGAGTAACAGTAACTACAGAGTAACAGCAACTACAGAGTAAAAGTAACTACAGAGTAACAGTAACTACAGAGTAACAGTAACTACAGAGTAACAGTAACTACAGAGTAACAGTAACTACAGAGTAACAGTAACTACAGAGCAACAGTAACTACAGAGTAACAGTAACTACAGAGTAACAGTAACTACAGAGTAATAGTAACTACAGAGTAACAGCAACTACAAGGGTAACAGTAACTACAGAGTAACAGTAACTACAAGAATAACAGTAACTACAAGAGTAACAGTAACTACAATAGTAACAGTAACTACAGAGTAACAGTAACTACAGAGTAACAGTAACTACAGAATAACAGTAACTACAGAGTAACAGTAACTACAAGAGTAACAGTAACTACAAGGGTAACAGTAACTACAAGAGTAACAGTAACTACAAGAGTAACAGTAACTACAAGAGTAACAATAACTACAGAATAACAGTAAATACAGAGTAACAGTAACTACAGAGTAACAGTAACTACAAGAATAACAGTAAGTACAAGAGTAACAGTAACTACAGAGTAACAGTAACTACAAGAGTAACAGTAACTACAAGAGTAACAGTAACTACAAGAGTAACAGTAACTACAGAGTAACAGTAACTACAGAGTAACAGTAACTACAGAGTAACAGTAACCACAGAGTAACAGTAACTACAAGAGTAACAGTAACTACAAGAATAACAGTAGCTACAAGAGTAACAATAACTACAAGAGTAACAGTAACTACAGAGTAACAGTAACTACAGAGTAACAGTAACTACAGATTAACAGTAACTACAGAGTAACAGTAACTACAGAGCAACAGTAACTACAAGAGTAACAGTAACTACAGAGTAACAGTAACTACAAGAGTAACAGTAACTACAAGAGTAACAATAACTACAAGAGTAACAGTAACTACAGAGTAACAGTAACTACAGAGTAACAGTAACTACAGAGTAACAGTAACTACAGAGTAACAGTAACTACAAGAGTAACAGTAACTACCGAGCAACAGTAAATACAAGAGTAACAGTAACTACAAGAGTAACAGTAACTACAAGAATTACAGTAACTACAAGAGTAACAGTAACTACAGAGTAACAGTAACTACAAAAGTAACAGTAACTACAAGAGTAACAGTAACTACAAGAGTAACAGTAACTACAACAGTAACTACAAGAGTAACAGTAACTACAAGAGTAACAGTAACTACAAGAGTAACAGTAACTATAAGAGTAACAGTAATTACAACAGTAACTTCAAGCGCAACAGTGACTACAGCAGTATCCACAACAGTAACTACAACAATAACTATAAGAGTAACAGTAACTACAAGAGTAACAGTAACTACAACAGTAACTACAACAGTAACTACAAGAGTAACAGTAACTACAAGAGTAACAGTAACTACAAGAGTAACAGTAACTACAAGAGTAACAGTAACTACAACAGTAACTACAAGAATAACAGTAACTACAAGAGTAACGGTAATTAAAACAGTAACTTCAATAGTAACAGTGACTACAGCAGTAACCACAACAGTAAATACAACAGTAACCACAACAGTAACTACAGCAGTAACCACAACAGTAACTACAGCAGTAACCACAACAGTAACTACAGCAGTAACCACAACAGTAACTACAGCAGTAACCACAACAGTAACTACAACAGTAACCACAACAGTAACTACAGCAGTAACCACAACAGTAACTACAGCAGTAACCACAACAGTAACTACAGCAGTAACTACAACAGTAACTACAACAGTAACCACAACAGTAACTACAGCAGTAACCACAACAGCAACTACAACAGTAACCACAACAGTAACTACAGCCAGTAACCACAACAGAAACTACAGCCGTAACCACAACGTATCTACGCAGTAACCAACAGTAATACGCAGTAACACAACAAGTAACTACAGCAGTAACCACAAAGTTACTACAGCAGTAATACAACAGTGACTCAGCAGGACACAACAGTAACTACGCATTTAACCAAACAGTGGCTAAGCGTACAAACAGGTAACTACAGCAGTAACCACACGTAACTACAACAGTAACCACAACGTTACCACAACAGTATTAAAGGTCCACAACAGTAATTACAACAGTAACTACAGCATTAACACAACCGTAAATACAGCAGTAACACAAGGGGTAATACAACAGTTACTAACATTAACCACAAACAGTAATTACACATTTAACTACAGAAGTTAATACAACAGTATACAGCATTTAACCACAACGTAACTACTGCAGTAACCACAACAGTTACTACAGCAGTAACCAAAACGTACTACGAGTAACCACAACAGAATACAAAGTAACCCAAAACCCAGTTGAACAGTAACCACAACGTAACTACAGCAGTAACCCACAACAGAATACTCACAGTATTTACACAGTAACCACAACAGTGACTACAACAGTACTACAGCAGTAACCAAACATAACTACGGGGCAGTAAACAACAGTAACTACAACAGAAACCACAACATTTACTAGCAGTAACCTTACAGTAACTTACAGGTAATTTCAACAGTAACTACACAGTAATAACAGTAATACACAGTAACTAAAACAGTAACCACAACAGTAACCACAACAAAACCCACAACACCTAATTTACACGTAACCACAACGGGTAACCACAAGTAACAACAACGTAACAAACAAAACCCACATAGAAACCCACAACAGTAACAACAACAGTACCAACAGTAACCACAACAGTAACCACACAGTTACCAAAATCAGAAACAACAAAGAAACAACAACAGTAACTACAACAGTAACCACAACAGTAACCACACGTAACGCAAACAGTAACTACAACAGTAACCACAACAGTAAAAACAACAGTAAATACAACAGTAACACAAACAGAAACCCACAACATTTAACAACAACGTAACCAAAACGAAAACCACAACGTAACAACAACAGTAACTCAACAGTAACCACAACAGTAACCAAACAGTAACAACAACAGTAACCAAAACAGTAACCAAAACCCGTAACTACAACAGTAACTACAACAATAACTACAACAGTAACTACAACAGTAACCACAACAGTACCACAACAGTAACCACAACAGTAACAACAACAGTAACTACAACAGTAACAACAACAGCAACTACAACAGTAACCACAACAGTAACCACAACAGTAACAACAACAGTAACTACAACAGTAACCACAACAGTAACAACAACAGTAACTACAACAGTAACAACAACAGTAACAACAACAGTAACAAAAACCCAGTAACAACAACAGTAACAAAAACAGTAATACAACAGTAACCAAACAGTAACAACAGCAGTAACTGCAACAGTAACTACAATAGTAACAACAACAGTAACTACAACAGTAACCACAACAGTAACCACAACAGTAACAACAACAGTAACTACAACAGTAACAACAACAGCAACTACAACAGAAACCACAACAGTAACCACAACAGAAACAAAAACAGTAAACTACAACAGTAACCCAACAGTAAAAAGAACAGTAACTACAACAGTAACCACAACATTTAACAACAACAGTAACCACAACAGTAAAAACAACAGAAACTACAACAGTAACCACAACAGTAAAAACAACATTTAATTTACAACAGTAACCACAACAGTAACCACAACAGTAACAACATAACAACACAGTAACAACAACAGTAACAACAACAGTAAAAAAACAACAGTAAAAACAACGAAACCCACACAGTAACAACAACAGTAACTACAACAGTAACAACAACGAAACAACAACAGTAACAACAACAGTAACAACAACAGTACAACAACAGTAACAACAACAGTAACAACAGCAGTAACTGCAACAGTAACTACAATAGTAACAACAACAGAAACTACAACAGTAACCACAACAGTAACAACAACAGTAACTACAACAGTAACCACAACAGTAACCACAACAGTAACAACAGTAACAACAACAGTAACAACAACAGTAACAAAAAACAGTTAACACAACAGTAACACAAACAGTAACCACAACGTAAACAACAACAGTAACTACAACAGTAAAAACAAAAAGTAACAACAACAGAAACAACAACAGTAACAACAAACAGTAACAACAACAGTAACAACAACAGTAACAACAACAGTAACTACAACAGTAACAACAACAGTAACAACAACAGTAACAACAACAGTAACTACAACAGTAACTACAACAGTAACCACAACAGTAACTACAACAGTAACTACAGACTCGGGCACCTGGTTCCTCCACATTAGAAAACATTATTGGACTGTCAGTAAATATTATGAGATATTATGTGAGATATGAGGGCAAGTATGAGGGGAAGTGTGAGGGGAAGTGTGAGGGGGAGATGTGAGGGGGAGATATGAGCGTGTATACTCAGGCAGAGGTAATAAGAGACATGTTGAAAATTGGAGGACAGCAGAGACCTCTGAGAGAGACAGTGACTTCTGAGACAGAGTGACCTCTGAGAGAGACAGTGACTTCTGAGACAGAGTGACCTCTGAGAGAGACAGTGACTTCTGAGAGACAGTGACCTCTGAGACAGTGACTTCTGAGAGAGACAGTGACCTCTGAGAAAGACAGTGACCTCTCGGAGAGACAGTGACCTCAGAGAGACAGTGACCTCTCAGAATGTTTCCCAAAGATCCAAGTAAGGCATTTTATCCGACATTTCCTGGGTTATCCTCTGCCAGATGATCTACACACATGTTATGTATGATAATTTATATTTATATGTACCTGTACCTTAAAAAAACTTACTTATTTACATACTTACTTACCTGATTCCTTACTTACTTGCTTACTTACAGATGGTAGCTCTGGATCGGGAACGCTTGCGTCAGGAAGGCTACGCACTCTTCGGTAAGCTGATACGCACAAAGGACCCAGCTCGCTTTCAGGGAGATGAGAGTTCTGACACTAAGCTCAAGAAGGTGCTGACCACTGTTGACCTGACCTCTCTGGGCGTAGGGTCATGTGTGGGTACTGGTATGTACCTGGTAGCTGGTATGGTGGCCAAGAATATCGCTGGACCTGGTGTCATACTTTCCTTTACCATAGCTGCTATAGCGTCTATATTCTCAGGTGAGACCTGTGTTTATGCTGTGTGTGTGTGTGTGTGTGTGTGTGTGTGTGTGTGTGTGTGTGTGTGTGTGTGTGTGTGTGTGTGTTGTGTTAAAATAATCGTGTATATTAGCAAGGACTAGAGTCGTTGGGCTTAAACACCGCATGACAAATGGTAAGCACAGACGTTTCATCCAAGGAGGAGGAACTGGGCTCCAATTTCTTAAATCAAGAGCCCTTTACCAAGGAGCAGTCCCTTTGAAGGCTTGATTATATTGTAGTGACCACCCAGTACCTCACTGCTATAAGTGACCACCCAGTACCTCACTGGTATAAGTGACCACCCAGTACCTCACTGGTATTAGTGACCACCCAGTACCTCACTGCTATAAGTGACCACCCAGTACCTCACTGGTATTAGTGACCACCCAGTACCTTACTGGTATTAGTGACCACCCAGTACCTCACTGGTATTAGTGACCACCCAGTACCTCACTGGTATTAGTGACCACCCAGTACCTTACTGGTATTAGTGACCACCCAGTATTTCACTGGTATTAGTGACCACCCAGTACCTCACTGGTATTAGTGACCACCCAGTACCTTACTGGTATTAGTGACCACCCAGTACCTCACTGGTATTAGTGACCATCCAGTACCTCACTGTTATAAGTGACCACCCAGTACCTTACTGGTATTAGTGACCACCCAGTATCTCACTGATATTAGTGACCACCCAGTACTTAACTGGTATTAGTGACCACCCAGTACCTCACTGGTATTAGTGACCATCCAGTACCTCACTGTTATAAGTGACCACCCAGTACCTTACCGGTATTAGTGACCACCCAGTATTTCACTGGTATTAGTGACCACCCAGTACTTAACTGGTATTAGCGACCACCCAGTACCTCATTGGTATTAATGACCACCCATTACTTCACTGGTATTAGTGACCATCCAGCCCCCCTCTGGTATTAGTGACTACCCAGTACTTCACTGGTATTAGTGACCACCCAGCACCTCACTTGTATTTGTGCCCACCCAGTACTTCACTGGTATTAGTGGCCACCCAGTACTTCACTGGTATTAGTAGCCACCCAGTACCTCACTGGTATTAGTGATCACCCAGTAACTTCACTGGTATTAGTGATCACCCAGTACTGAATTCATTGGTATTAGTGATCACCCAGTACTTCACTGGTATTAGTGATCACCCAGTACTTCACTGGTATTAGTGATCACCCAGTACTTCACTGGTATTAGTGATCACCCAGTACTTCACTGGTATTAGTGATCACCCAGTACTTCGCTGGTATAAGTGACCACCCAGTAACTCGCTAGTATCACTGAATACCCAGTACGTCACTGGCTGGTATCACTGATCACCGCACAACCCACATTCCCTCTATAGTCTGTCAAAAAGTTTGGTCGTTTATTGCCATTACAGTTGCCAGGAACCCAGGGCTATAACGAGGATAAACTACGAGTTATATACATAAATCAAAGTGAGAGGGGGGGGAGGTAAATTCAGACTAGCTGACTTTATACTTACACCCAGGTGTGAAGGTCAGTCATTCACTACCCGCAGGTTGTCACATTCTAAGGACTCTTACTATGAGCGTGTATATTCCTGCAGTCTCTTAAAACATTACCAAACTAGTGGTTTCTGCCAAGTTACTGAATGCACTCGGAAAAAATACGCACAAATGCATCATAATGCGATTCTTTATTGACTACGTTTGGCCCAAACAGTGAGCTTCATCAAGTCACAAACAGATCTACCTGGGTGAAGAGTACATAAGTATATATAGTGTGGAGAGTCAGGTGGAGAATGTTGGGTAGGTTGTATTTGAGACGGACGTGCACGGGACGGGCTAGTGTGCATAACCATGAGGTCTCCTGGCAAAGAGTTCGGCTATTTTGTAAAAGCCGTTGTTCTGGTTGACAATGTTAGATATACAGATGAGTGATGATTCCAAGCTTGATACTGTTAAGACCTGTATCTGATGTTGCTGGAGGATCTGTAGGAACACTTACAAATGTGATTTTTAATATTTCTTAATTATTCCTTTGCCGGTAATCTGTTTTATGGGCAGGTGCCATGAAGACAGATAATTCATCATGTGGTAGTTCATCATGTTGTAGTATGTAGTTTATCATGTGGTAGTTCATTATTTTGTAGTTCATCATGTTGTAGTATGTAGTTTATCATGTGGTAGGTCATCATGTTGTAGTATGTAGTTTATCATGTGGTAGTTCATCATGTTGTAGTATGTAGTTTATCATGTGGTAGTTCATCATGTTGTAGTATGTAGTTTATCATGTGGTAGTTCATCATGTTGTAGTTGTATGTAGTTTATCATGTGGTAGTTCATCATGTTGTATTATGTAGTTTATCATGTGGTAGTTTATCATGTGGTAGTTCATCATGTTGTAGTATGTAGTTTATCATGTGGTAGTTTATCATGTGGTAGTTCATCATGTTGTAGTATGTAGTTTATCATGTGGTAGTTCATCATGTTGTAGTATGTAGTTTATCATGTGGTAGTTCATCATGTTGTAGTATGTAGTTTATCATGTGGTAGTTCATCATGTTGTATTATGTACTTTATCATGTGGTAGTTTATCATGTGGTAGTTCATCATGTTGTAGTATGTAGTTTATCATGTGGTAGTTTATCATGTGGTAGTTCTCATTGTTGTAGTATGTAGTTTATCATGTGGTAGTTCATCATGTTGTAGTATGTAGTTTATCATGTGGTAGTTCATCATGTTGTAGTATGTAGTTTATCATGTGGTAATTCATCATGTTGTAGTATGTAGTTTATCATGTGGTAGTTCATCATGTTGTAGTATGTAGTTTATCATGTGGTAGTTCATCATGTTGTAGTATGTAGTTTATCATGTGGTAGTTCATCATGTTGTAGTATGCAGTTTATCATGTGGTAGTTTATCATGTGGTAGTTCATCATGTTGTAGTATGTAGTTTATCATGTGGTAGTTTATCATGTTGTAGTATGTAGTTTATCATGTGGTAGTTTATCATGTGGTAGTTTATCATGTGGCAGTTCATCATGTTGTAGTATGTAGTTTATCATGTGGTAGTTTATCATGTTGTAGTATGTAGTTTATCATGTGGTAGTTCATCATGTTGTAGTATGTAGTTTATCATGTGGTAGTTCATCATGTTGTAGTATGTAGTTTATCATGTGGTAGTTTATCATGTGGTAGTTCATCATGTTGTAGTATGTAGTTTATCATGTGGTAGTTCATCATGTTGTAGTATGTAGTTTATCATGTGGTAGTTCACATGTGGTAGTATGTAGTTTATCATGTGGTAGTTTATCATGTTGTAGTATGTAGTTTTATCATGTGGTAGTTTATCATGTGGTAGTTCATCATGTTGTAGTATGTAGTTTATCATGTGGTAGTTCATCATGTTGTATGTAGTTTATCATGTAGTAGTTCATCATGTTGTAGTATGTAGTTTATCATGTGGTAGTTCATCATGTTGTATTATGTAGTTTATCATGTGGTAATTCATCATGTTGTAGTATGTAGTTTATCATATGGTAGTTCATCATGTGGTAGTTCATCATGTTGTATTATGTAGTTTATCATGTGGTAGTTCATCATGTTGTAGTATGTAGTTTATCATGTGGTAGTTTATCATGTGGTAGTTCATCATGTTGTAGTATGTAGTTTATCATGTGGTAGTTTATCATGTGGTAGTTCATCATGTTGTAGTATGTAGTTTATCATGTGGTAGTTCATCATGTTGTAGTATGTAGTTTACATGTGGTAGTTTATCATGTGGTAGTCATCATGTTGTAGTATGTAGTTTATCATGTGGTAGTTCATCATGTTGTAGTATGTAGTTTATCATGTGGTTGTTCATCATGTTGTAGTATGTAGTTTATCATGTGGTAATTCATCATATTGTAGTATGTAGTTTATCATGTGGTAGTTCATCATGTGGTAGTTCATCAGTTGTAGTATGTAGTTTATCATGTGTAGTTCATCATGTTGTAGTATGTAGTTTATCATGTGGTAGTTCATCATGTTGTAGTATGTAGTTTATCATGTGGTAGTTCATCATGTGGTAATTCATCATGTTGTAGTATGTAGTTTATCATGTGGTAGTTCATCATGTTGTAGTATGTAGTTTATCATGTGGTAGTTCATCATGTTGTAGTATGTAGTTTATCATGTGGTAGTTCATCATGTTGTAGTATGTAGTTCATCATGTGGTAGTTCATCATGTGGCAGTTCATCATGTTGTAGTATGTAGTTCATCATGTGGTAGTTCATCATGTTGTAGTATGTAGTTTATCATGTGGCAGTTCATCATGTTGTAGTATGTAGTTCATCATGTGGTAGTTCATCATGTTGTAGTATGTAGTTTATCATGTAGTAGTTCATCATGTTGTAGTATGTAGTTTATCATTGTGGTAGTTCATCATGTTGTAGTATGTAGTTTATCATGTGGTAGTTCATCATGTTGTAGTATGTAGTTTATCATGTGGGTAGTTCATCATGTTGTAGTATGTAGTTTATCATGTGGTAGTTCATCATGTTGTAGTATGTAGTTTATCATGTGGTAGTTCATCATGTTGTAGTATGTAGTTTATCATGTGGTAGTTCATCATGTTGTAGTATGTAGTTCATCATGTGGTAATTCATCATGTTGTAGTATGTAGTTTATCATGTGGTAGTTCATCATGTTGTAGTATGTAGTTTATCATGTGGTAGTTCATCATGTTGTAGTATGTAGTTTATCATGTGGTAGTTCATCATGTTGTAGTATGTAGTTTATCATGTGGTAGTTCATCATGTGGAGTATGTAGTTTATCATGTGGTAGTTCATCATGTTGTAGTATGTAGTTTATCATGTGGTAGTTCATCATGTTGTAGTATGTAGTTTATCATATGGTAGTTCATCATGTGGTAGTTCATCATGTTGTATTATGTAGTTTATCATGTGGTAGTTTATCATGTGGTAGTTCATCATGTTGTAGT